TACAGCTGTATCTTCTTCTTGGTTCTGTTTGTCCGCTTATTATTATATTTTCTTTTCTCTTATTATCAGTGGGACCATTGTCATTAGGTTTAGGCCTGTTTTGGAACTCCACTTTAAATAAAGCCAAACAACAACACAACAAGTAGGAAGGGAGCGTCGCAGCTTCCTCGAACCAAGGCCATTCGACTCAGCACCCAGAAGACTACAACTGGTGAAAATTTGATTTTAGGGTATACTTCCCCTTTAAGCCCCGTCCTACCTCAGCTAACCAGCCGATGCCTAGCAAGACATCCGCCCTCAATATTGGATTCCTAAATGTCTGTAGCCTGCGGTACAAGGTGCACGATGTCAAAGCTGTCCTGGCAAGCCAGAGCTTGGACATACTTGGTGTTGCCAAGACATGGCTGGATCAGACAATCGGAGATGGAGAACTGTGTATCCCAGGATACTCAATTGCACGACGTGATCGTGGTAGACAGGGTGGTGGCGTAGCCATCTACTACCGCTCCACACTTCCCGCAAGACCGCGTCCTGACCTAAGCAAAGAAAACGTTGAAATCATAAGGCTTGAAGTCAAGAGCAAGTCCGGACCTCACCTACTTGCATGCGTCTATCGACCGCCAAATGAGCCAGTCGCCTACTGGACTCGGATAGAGCAAGAGCTTGAGCGGGCGTCCCAAGTGACACCGTCGTCGATGACCCTACTCGGTGACTTCAACGCTAATGTATGCCAAGGTAGTCATCAGGTGCGCCACTTGCTTGATCTCTGCGACGTATATGGCCTGAAAAATCACGTTATCTCCCCAACACGTGTCACACCAGAGCATCCCCATGGAACTGTGATCGACCTTGTTCTTTCAGATCCCACCAACGTCTCCGCTTGCAGTGTTATTCCCTGTGATATCAGCGACCATTTCCTGGTGAGAGCGCATCTCCATCTCCTCACTGCGCAAACTACTAGTCGTGCACCTCGCATCACTCGCCATCTACACCGGATGGACTTCGAGTCTTTTCGGCGTGACCTCATCGCAGCCAACTTGTATGCATTTGCACCTGGATCCGACGTGCACCAAATGTGGCACCAGTGGCATGGAGGGTTCATGGACGTGCTGGACAGGCATGCTCCGCAGATTCTTACAAGTCAGGGGAAACGGCCATCAAACCCGCCCTGGTCGGATAGAGACTTGTTCCAGCTAAATCAGCGGAAAATCCGACTCCACAAGAAATGGCTCGCGAACAAAGGGGACTGGGCGGCACATCAGGACTTCAAGCGAGCCAGATCTGCATGCTCAAATGCGTACCGCGGAAAACGCAATGAGTACTTCCGCACCCAGTGCAGTGAGAATAACTCTAATCCTCGTCAAATGTGGTCGGTTATCAATCAGGTCACAGGACGAAGCCGTCAACACCAGGAGCCCGCATGCCCTATGGATGCAGTAACCACCGCGTTTCACAAGGTTATCACGGACACCAGCCGGCCGCAAAGTCTCCATATACCAAGCGGACCACCCCCACAGCAATGTCTCATCTCCTTTCCGCTGGTTACTGTCAGGGAAGTTGAGCGGTTACTACGATCAATCAACACGACCAAGGCCACAGGAAGTGACGACATACCCGGTTTTGTACTGAAACATAGCGCTGATATCCTTGCCCCTTCACTGGTCACACTGTTTAATGCGTCCCTGTCCAGCGGGGAAGTGCCAAGAGGTTTCAAGCTAGCCCACGTCACACCCCTTTTCAAGGCCGGAGACCCATCCGTGCCCACAAACTACCGCCCTGTGTCGCTGTTACCCGTGATCTCTAAGCTACTCGAAAAGCTGGTGCAGAAAGCCCTGGTTGACTTCGTTGACCCAGCTCTCCCTAACACCCAGTTTGCATTCCGCCCTGGACACTCGACCGAAGATGCACTGGCACTGCTCTCGGACACCGTCCTCCAAGCCCGAGACAATGGTTCTGTTGTAGCAACATGCCTGTTAGATATGAGTAAAGCCTTCGACAAGGTGAAGCATGCCACCCTCATCCAGGACTTGTTCAGCATCAGTACCTCCGGCACAGCCCTGAAATGGTTTCGGGACTATCTGTCTGGGCGCCATCAACACGTTCGTATGGGCTCCCGACTGGGCAGAACTGGACCGTGCACTTATGGTGTGCCGCAGGGCTCTGTACTACTTCCGAAGTAGGACCCATGCTGTTCTCCATATACACCAGAGATGTCCCCTCTGAATCTGTGCCGGCATCATCACTGCAGTTTGCGGACGACATCGCCCTGACATGTGCAAGACGGACAGCGCAAGAGGTGTCTGATGCGCTCAGCTTGGCGGTTACCTCCCTCTAAAGTTGGCTGGACGCTCGTGGTCTTGTATTAAATGCAAAGAAGAGCAATGTATTGGTTTTTACCAGCAGCAGTGGGCAGCAGCCGGACGTGGTTGTACGCTGTCGAAATGATGTCCTTCCGCACACCACCAGCGCGAAATACCTCGGCATCTTGATCGATGAACGAATGGCCTGGCAACCGCAAGTTGACCGGTACATCTCACGCACTGCTAGGAAGATCGGTAGTCTGTGGCGGGCGCGACGCTGCCTCACTCTAGCTAGTCGAAGCAAGTACTTCTTATCTGTCATCATGCCGGATTTGATATATGGATCGTCAGCATATGGCTCTGGCTTGACCCACAACCAGCTAAACCGCTTGCAGGTGGCCCAAAACCGCGCAGCAAGGGCGGTGTTCGGACGACCACGATTTACCAGGGCCAGTGACCTCTTGGAGAGGCTCTCTGTTTATCGCGTGGACGAGGTATATCGCCAGAAACTGCTCGTGCTGGTATGGCGGTGCGTTCATAACCGTGCTGTTTGTCCGCAACTGCGGAGCAACTCGCCTTCAGTCTGGGCCTGCAACAACCAATAGCCAGAAGCCGAGCAGGCCAAGCAGGCCAATGCCGACCGGCGGTTGCCTGTTATGGAACCATATACCTGACACGGTGCGAGCCATGGGCAACATCCCAGCATTCCGCCGAGCTGCCATTCCCTACACGTTGTAGACTGCTACACAGTTGGTCATACCATGGTATTCAGTACCCACGAACTTTGCAAAGCCGATAATATGATAATGTATCGTGGTGCATGCACCGATGGTACCACCACTTCGTAGACTGCCTCCCGTTCATTTCTGTGCTCCTGTCTTTATTCTCGTCAGCTGTGTACTTCAGCAGTTCAATTCTGTGCTCCAGTCCTCTTTATTCTCGTGAGCTGTGTACTTGTTTTGCTGTTTGTTTGGTTTATTTGAATTCGCTCAGTAACCGTGTATTTCAGCTATTCTCTCCTCCCTCTTCTGAATTTGACTCTCCGCTGGCCTTCTCTTCTCCCATCCCCTTACATTGTATTGGGCCTCCGCAGCTCCGCAACTTTTAAAGATCCAGGTAACAACACCGAACCAACGAAACAAATGTGAGCCAGCATGGAACGGTGGAGGTGCGCACACGCACATTCCAGACCTTACCCGGTTACCGTCCACAATGTTACAAAAAACATTCTTCATCGAAGCAAGAGTCAATGTCTTTGTTGAAGAGTAACGCTGGACTTTCACCGGACATTGACTATTGTGTAAGACCAGCTAACTAGCAGCCAACGCTGATGGCTGACTCGCCGCGATGCCGTTCTTGGGATTGGGAGGAAGCTGGGCTTTCTCCAGATGAGCTTTTGGCGGATAGTGACGTCGTCGAGTTGGAAACTGCAGATCCTGCCGCCGCGATAGCGAGGAAGCGGTCTTTTCAGAAAACAGCTATTACCAAGTCTGAACATGTTTCCAAAAAGACGCGAGTAGCTCATGGACAGAGCACTGAAGTGGCCATCAGTGCCGAAACACGGGTGCGGGAGTTCCCAGATGAGCCGCTCAAAAGCGACTGTGGCAAGGTACTAGTGTGCCTGGCATGCCATACAACATTGTCAGGGAAGAAGAGTATAATCATGTCCCATATTGCTACCGCGAGACATAAACAAGGAAAGTCCCGTTTGGAGAGGGAAACTCAGAGGCAGAAGCTGGCCAAGAAGTCCTTCTTGGCGTATCCTCTTTGATGCCAGGAGGTGGTGGGTCTTGTAGCCCTGTATGAAAAGCTGTGTGTGAATATGGGGGCTCCTGCCTACACCAACCAAACACCTTGCTCACAACACCCTGCCCACATCCGCCATATTATACATGCACTCTGCGCTAACATCACACTACTAGCTCTACCATAACCTACAGCCTCCTGCCTACAACATCCACACACCTTGCTCACAACCTCCTGCCCACACCAGCCACACATTCTGCGCTAACATCACACTGCTAGCTCTGCCATAACCTACAGCCTCCTGCTTACAACATCCACACACCTTGCTCACAACCTCCTGCCCACACCAGCCACACAGTCTGCGCTAACATTGCACTGCTACTGTGCTAGCCCTGTCACTGCATCTACAAGTACAGCTAGCTAAGCCCCCTAGCCCCCTGCCTTCAACAACCAATCTGCACACAGCCTCCTGCCTAACAATTACTCCGCTAGCCCTGAAACCTATAGTACAGAGTACAGCCCCCATATTCACACACACACACACACACACACACACACACACACACATACATACACATACATACACACACACACACACACACACCTTTTCGTGCAGCGCTACAAGACCCGCACCCTCTCCTGGAATACATGTACATTGTATATACGGGGATAGCCAGCACCATCCTCATGTAACCTCAGCCCTGAAGATTGCGAAAGCATGAAGTATTTTCACCCTTGAGACTATACATGCGCACGCCCCAGCCCTCTTCAGAGCATTTCTACATTCTTAGAATTGCGTATCGACACCTGTAGTTAGCCCTGGCCTTGGCGGATAATGACGCGGAGCTGCCAAAAACTTGCCCCGCGAGAGGACTACTGTCCTCAAGTCAGCATAATTCTTTGATTTCGTAAACGCTGCATGCTGACTTGGCGTGTGAAATCAAGAATTCTAGCTGCAGAATAAAACGCCTATTCTATTGTCACTGACACTGTTGGGAATCAACCAGTCTGTACTAAAATGTTGTGAATGGCAATGGCAGAAGTTCAAAGCACACAGTGCGACAATACTCATGTAAGAATATGGATCGACAGAAAAGAAACTGCAGAGCGATTGAGGAGCACGTTCCAATTCCTAGCGATAAAATAGCTTTTTCAAGGGCATCCTATAAAATAGAAGAGATTGGAAATATAGGTACTTCTCATCTAACGCTTTCATCCCCTTCTCCAAGGAGATTTCAAGGAATGGCTCAAGTAGAAAAAAACCGACTTAAACTTGTACACAAACAATCTTCGAGGAGACAATAATTTTAATAGAGCTATGAAAAAAATGAAGGCCGCAGACATCACACAACTAAGTTACTTGTCCGACATGTGTGTGTATCTAACAATAATATTATAATCAAGAATCGATTTTCTGTCCCGATCATCAGACTTTTATAGCGCAAAAATAAGGATAACACCAGTCGTGACAAGGTGGATATAGAACGACACAAAGTGACACAAAGTAATATGGAGAAAAAGTATAATGTCGACAACAACGTAGATTGGAACGAAATGGCTTTCTAGAAAGCTTGCAAACGTCGTTACCATGGTTACTGGTCAGGCGAGTACGTCAAAGAACAGTACATGTGACCATGATCATTGGATGTCAATCCTCTAGCTCCGTGACGATTATAGGACTTCTAACGTCAGCCGTATAGAAATTAAAGGGAAGCAAGGCATACTGTACCCAGACATCACAAGCCCAGGTACTTGCACCCAGACTTCATGAACCCAGGCACCTTGCACCCAGACATCATGAACCCAGGCACCTTGCACCCAGACATCACGGACCGAGGCCCCTTGTACTCAATCACTGTGTATGCGGGCACCTATTTTGTTTCCTTCTTTTTACTGAGGACACAGCCTACTCGTAAGAAGAGGGGAGAGAAGTAGCAGGACAACAAAACTGTGAATGGGAAGAGTAGGGGCTCCAAGAAGGAACCTGTGCTGGCTTGCATTCCACCAAGCCCTTGCACCCAGACACATGCAGACATACACTGTGTACGAAGAGATCACACTCGCCTGTCCGCATCCTCGGATAGCCAGATATCGACGGAGAGCAGCGTATAGTGTGGCTGGACGTCGCGCTTCAACAATCTATAGCGCGCCGTCGTTAGACCTTCGTGCAGCAGGCGGCGCGAGTTACGCAGAAGTTCCCAGCGATTGTCGGCGAGCTTTCCGGACTTGAAATTGCCTTTCTTCAGCGTGGAGTAGCGGCCTACGGACTTGTCACGGCGCACAAAGTCTGTGCGTATGGCCTGCAGCCTGGTCTTGAGGTCATTGTCCTCGCCTCCCCAGCCGTAGAAGCGATTGCTAAAGCCGTTGGCACTCCAGTAGACGTCGGACGGCAGCAGGTTCACGCCGCCGTCGGCCATCTGGGGCAGGTCCCAGTTGTACATGTCGATAGCCGAGCTCAGCTGCCAGGCTTTCTGCAGCGGCGCCTTCTTGCAGTCGTAAGAGTTTGCGCTGACCAGGGGGATGAGATCTATGTCGTGGATGGTCATGCAGTCAAATCTGTCGGCGGCTGTGCGTCCCGAGTTTGCTTCCAGGAAGCCGATGTTGAGCAGTGCGCCACGGTTGAACTTGGCCTTGCCCAGCTGTTCGACGATGAACACTTTGAAGATGATGTCCTGCTTGGCTAGGAAAGCATTGATGGCCGGTGCAAACTGCTTGAGCTGCTCGTAGCGATTGCGAAACGGCACCACGATAGCCACGCGCGTCTTGGAAGGCCCGCCTCCGCCGGGGAAGAAGGCGGCAGCATGTGTTTTCGTGACGATTGCCTGGTGTGGATGGCTGGTGGTCAACTGCGCGGTGGTGCTTGGCTGTGTGACGACGGTTGCGACGCGGCTCATCGGCCCGGCAGATGAATCCTCGCCGCTGAAAAGATACCCAGGTGCCGCAACAAACATCTCACGTTCTCCTTGAGTCGAGGTTGGCGTGGGCGCATTGTTCAGTAATCTATTACCCTGAGGCTGTGCCAGCGCTACGTATGATACCGTGAAGGTGCAGATGAAGCCGATCAGGGCAATGACTAGCAAGTCCAGCCACATGGGCAAAGAGCCGCCACCAGTTGAAGTCCATAGTGAGAATGCCATGCTCTGCACGTGTGTGCGCGTGTCCGTGTGTGTATGGGTATGTGTGTGTGTGTACGTGTGTCGGTGTGCGGGGAAGGGGGGGGGGAGGCGTGTATAATTGACAATGCTAGTGTGGAGTTGGGTTGCTACTGCGGTGTTGGTGGTAGTGGTGGTGGTGGTGGTGGTGGTGGTGGTGGTGGTGGTGGTGACTCCACAGTGGATAGCAGTTCTGTAGTGCTGGAGCTGGTGTGTGTGCTACCACTGCTCTGAGTCTGGCGTGGACGGCAAGGTAGCCAGTGCAGATAGGTAGTATGGTGTTCTGGACTGCAGCAAATAGTACAGTCGCCCACAGCTCTTGCACGGCTTGAGGCACCAACCCTCTCCTTGCTGCGTATACCGTCCCGTGAAAACTAAACGCCTTGATCCAGCCAGCTCCAAATACAGCAGTGTGTAGTGACCTCTGTGTCAACACCAACTCCACAGTGTGCTGTGTTGTCAACACCAACTCCACAGTGTGCAGTGTGCTTCCTGGTATGTTGCTGTGGTACGTGTGCGCTGGATGGCTATCACAGTACAATGTAGCACACGCCTAATCTATATGCCTAGTCCGGAAAGAACGAATGATACCGTTACTCGGCTGGCAGTGGAAGTCAGTCAGGACAAATGCCGCGGTTTTGTACGCCGAAGGTGCCTACGGGCAACAGTCAGTATCGTTACCACAGGCTAATGACGTACGTTCAGTCTTTCACACTGGCGACGCGAGAACTCTGCGTTATCGTCTCAATCCAGAACTTGAATCTGAAACCTGCTACACGCATTATAAGTTCAACCTCGGCCAGTAAAAGACCTCGCATTTCACGTGCAGTCGCTAGTATTCCACTTGAACTCACTGCTGTTTGCCGATCCCTGATCCAGTGAAGCAAGCCTTGGCTAGCGTAGATATCGGACTAGCGACACTGCAGCACAACGCAGCTATCAGTTATCAGACTAGCTACACTGCAGAACAAAGACCCGTCGATACGCGATCTCTGCAACAAGACACGTGGCAGTCCTGGCTCAGCGACGATGGCCGTTGCGTCCGTATCGCAATGAGAACTATTTAATTATTTTCATGCTAATGTAATGACTGCAAAATACAGTCTGTGCGGACGCGTGTAGACCAGTAGTAGGCAGTACAGTAGGCAGTACAATACAGTACAGTCATACAGATATGTCAGCGCACCAGCGGGCAGCACTCAGCAGACTGCAGCACTTGAATCTGTTGTACGTGTCCTCCCCGGCCCCGGCCCGGCCGTAGTCTACATCAGTACATGACTAGTGTGAGTAGACGACTACCATGACTACTGTCTGTAGTACTAGTACTGATCTACGTAGAGAATCTACACCGCAGTTGGGAAAATAATGCCCTCGGCTCACCAGACTCACATGCACAGACAGCTGCGACGTGTACATGTAGCACAGGTACACAGGAGTCTAGGTCTCCGTATTACGCTAGATAGACAGTACATCTGCTCTCGTACATAGCATAATAATAATAATTATAGACTCGAATAGACCGGACTCGACCAGTACAGTCTAGAGTCACAGTATAGTGCGTAGAACTACGTCATTCTACGTGGATATCGGATATACTGGACTTCTCCGAGTTCTCGCTCAGCTAGATCTGCTAGAGTCCGAGTAGGGATCCGATACGAGTCTATCTCAGTATTTGCACGTGATGCTGTCGCTCGCTAGCCATGCGCCAAGCAAGCTAGTCTACCAATACCATATCCATCATGGTGTATGCCTAGGCTATGGTCAGCTGCAGCTCTGACACTTGACACAGTACTGACTCACTGGCTGACACGGTGACAGTGTAGTCAGTGGTTTTGATCTCAGTGACAGTATGCGTCTGCTGGTGACGGCCTTCAGCCCCTGGCCTAGGCCCTGCCTCTCTGTACTATTAGTATTACAGCTGCACTACTACTGTAGTCTACTACTTACTACTTACTGTAGTACTGCCACTGGCGCCGTACATCGAGCTGTACATCTTCCACAACATTATTATTATGTCTGTCGCTGTCACCAACATCCTCGTGAGCCGGGTACAGGACCAAGACACCAACATGGATGAAGTGCCCACCACCGGTGCACCGCACCATCCATGCTGCCAAGCTAACTGCAACAGCAGCAACCAGGAGAGCCGCTCGAGACCGAGCCAGTCAGCTCCTGGCCACTTGTGATGCGCCCACCAAGCGAACCCTGGGGATGGCGGCCGAGAAAGGAGCGTCCAAATGGCTCACTTGCCGGCCCCTGAAGCAGTTCGGGTTTGTCCTCCGCAAAGGCCCCTTCAAAGACGAGCTAGACGCACTCTGTCTGGGGTTCGGCTTGGTCCCTCTCCGCCTGCCATCCACTTGTGTGTGTGGCAAGGCGTTTAACACCAGCCATTCTCTATCGTGCCCAACTGGTGGATACCCGGCTCTCCGCCATAACACGCAGCCTCCTTTGCAATGTTCAACAGTACTCTTCGCAGCCTCTTTTGCAACACATAATGGCACAGTATGCAGCCACCGTTTTCTTTTTTCTTTACTCTATTTCACGCACTTACGGCTTTCTTCATTCAGCTCTATTTCACGCACTTACCTAGGGTACCCTGTAAAAAGACTCACAGTCTGTGGGGATTGCCCTAGTAAAATACTACTACTACGATCCGCGACCTGACAGCCGATCTACTGCGTGAAGTGGCAACGGATGTGAAGGTAGAACCTCCTCTGCAGTCCTTGGAAGGTGAAAGGCTTCGGTTTCGCTCTGCCATCTGGGAAGATGGTGCTCGTCTTGATGTGGCCGCATCCGGTGTCTGGTGAACGTTTTTTTTGCGCACGTTCTGTGATGTTCGGGTTTTTAACCCTCATGCGCGCTCGAACACTTCCTCAACTCCCGCGTCCACCTATGCCAAGCACGAACAGCAGAAGAGAAGGGCCTACGAAGAATGCGTCAGGGAGGTGGAGCATGCTTTACAATCATCTACATGATTGTACAATGTCATGACTGTTATGTCCATGGCCACGTCGCACCACTTCGACTTTTTAGCGCCGCACAACTGCAAGTGCGCGGCACAGCGCCTGCTCATTACTTGTCTGTTTGTCCTAGTCTCCGTACCATTGTCTTTTCTTATTCTTTTCGAGCTGGTTATGTGAACATAGTAAAAAAATAAAAAATATAAAAGTTTGGGCAGGGACAGACTGACAGTACTGACTACAGTACTGGTAGGGTTGGGGGGTGGGGGGGGGGGTACTACTGACTACAGTATTGGTAGGGTTGGGGGGTGGGGGTACTACTGACAACAGTACTGGTAGGGTTGGGGGGGGGTACTACTGACTACAGTATTGGTAGGGTTGGGGGGTGGGGTACTACTGACTACAGTATTGGTAGGGTTGGGGGGTGGGGTACTACTGACTACAGTATTGGTAGGGTTGGGGGGTGGGGTACTACTGACTACAGTATTGGTAGGGTTGGGGGGGGGGTACTACTGACTACAGTATTGGTAGGGTTGGGGGGTGGGGTACTACTGACTACAGTACTGGTAGGGTTGGGGGGTGGGGTACTACTGACTACAGTATTGGTAGGGTTGGGGGGTGGGGTACTACTGACTACAGTATTGGTAGGGTTGGGGGGGGGGGTACTACTGACTACAGTATTGGTAGGGTTGGGGGGTGGGGTACTACTGACTACAGTACTGGTAGGGTTGGGGGGGGGGTACTACTGACTACAGTATTGGTAGGGTTGGGGGGTACTACTGACTACAGTATTGGTAGGGTTGGGGGGGGGTACTACTGACTACAGTATTGGTAGGGTTGGGGGGTGGGGTACTACTGACTACAGTATTGGTAGGGTTGGGGGGTGGGGTACTACTGACTACAGTATTGGTAGGGTTGGGGGGTGGGGTACTACTGACTACAGTACTGGTAGGGTTGGGGGGGGGGTACTACTGACTACAGTATTGGTAGGGTTGGGGGGTACTACTGACTACAGTATTGGTAGGGTTGGGGGGGGGGGGGTGGGGTACTACTGACTACAGTACTGGTAGGGTTGGGGGGTGGGGTACTACTGACTACAGTACTGGTAGGGCTGGGGGGGGGGGGTACTACTGACTACAGTACAAAGGAGCCTCTTTTACGGGCCAATAAAAAATCCTATCTGAAAAGCAATGTCAATAAAGCCGTTCATAACGCTAAAAATCAAATCAATTCAGGAAAATTCAATTCAATTCAAAGTCGTGACACATCCGGTAAAAAACAGCCCGAAATAATATCTCGGTGCAAAAGAAGAACGAAGTAGTGGTTGCGACTTCGGCGATGATTTGTAAGAAATGGTTTGCTCCTCACACTGGAGCTCGCGCTCTGGATGGCAGTCGTGAGTCAGTAAAGTGTCAAGTAAAGTCGGCGGAATAGCGCGAGCTCCAGTGTGGGGAGCAAACCCTTTCTTGCAAAAGAAGAAAAAGGAAATAAAAAGCCGCTTCATTTTAAAGGACCAAATGAAGAAAAGCAAAGAAATACCCACATCAGCGCTAAATTGCACCTTAAATTATAAACAAAAACATGACGCGTCCATTAGCATTGAGGACACTGCCATTAGCGAGGTTATCCACACCACTGTTACATCCGTCCCTCAGCCATGGCTAGTGGGCGCAATGCATTTACCGGTCGATGGTATGCAGAGTGAGCCCCTCTGGTGCACATAACTACAGCTCGGAGGAGTGCAAACGACAGACGGCATCTGACATAGGCCATAACCTCGCCGTAGGGCTTGCCATCATGCTGTACTAGCGCATAATCGCTTCAAAAACCGCAAGCATTCTGGGGATGCACTGCCAGCCGTGGTGAAGACAAGCGGGGTAAAGTAGTTACCACGGTCAACATTGACAATCCTTTCGCTATACTGCAGCTTCTTCTGCCTCTCGTGCTGGAGAAGGAGGTCAGCGATGGGCTTCTTTGCGTACGAGGCGGCGTCAGGATGAAAGACTCGAATGTCAAGGAAAGTGTTCTGTGCCCTTGTCCAAAACCCACGTATGCGGACGTCAGATCGGGCATCATGTGCCGTGTTGGTGCTGGCGGCTCTGAAGACTTCGCCCTCCAGCGGCGCGAGCAATGGCTCCACAGACACGTCAGGGCACACCTCCGTGACTAAGTCCGCTATCATGTCTCGTACCTCGTTATGTCTAATGGTAGGGAAGCCCCCGGTTGGGCAGCACATCGCATGAGCCGCGGTGAAATCCTGGCCACACACGCATTTCTCCGGGACATCCCTCAGAGGCCATCCGTACCTCAGCGCAATGGCATCGCGGAAGTCGCACTTGGACAGACTGAAGCCGTGCTCACGCAGCGGAACCGGGGTGTGGAGCCAGCTCCATACACCCTTGGCCGAAAGGTGTTCCAACTGGCGGGCGGCAAGCGGAGTAAGTGTTTCCTTGGCGCTCATATACCGCTGTTCGTCATGTTTTAGCCGTTCCGCCAGAGCTGCTGACTTGGCTCGCTGGGCTGAATGAATTGCATGCTCTATCGATATCGAGGGCCTGGACCGGCCATTCTGGTCGAGTATCTCCAGCGTTTGATCTGATGTGATTTTCCTCGACGTCTCCAGAGCCCCATTAGCCATTTGAGACAGGGATGGCACGGCAAAGCCACCCAGGCGTGTGGGAAGCTGAAGAACAGCCCATTCGTTGTCCGAAAATGCCTCCCTGCCAGTTACCGCAGGTATCAATACCGTGCGCATCATGTCATCCATCTGAGAGAGGCAATCGGCTGGAAAAGGTACTGTTCTGAGGAGGTAGGTCCACCTGCCGCGAAGACCATGTGTCAGGGCAGCATAGGCTGCATGCGGCTCCGTGCGCGCAACATCCGATAGTGCCTTTAGTTCCGCAATCCACTCGCCTACTAAAAACTCGCCGCCGCACATGCTCGGCAACAGCATCAGACTCGCCAATGTAGGAGCCTAGGTATTTCGTGGCGCCGGTCACGATACGTATGCCAGTACCAGCAAACATATTGTAGGCTTCCTCCTCCTGCTCGGGCTTCACGAGAAGAAGCGTTTTCTCCGGGTTGGTGTTGTATCCGTACAGCTTGCCTTGTTCCTCAACGCTGTCCCACCATCCACGGAGAC